GTGCAGCCACAGGCTGCTGGTTGTCTCTGGGGCGTTCCTACAGCGACATGATCGGCCAGTTTGGGACCGTGATGCAACTGAAAACTACCCCGTTTCTTACGAACAACAACAGAAAAAAAAAACCCAGTGTCAACTTCAGCAAGGAATGGCCAGAAGAGATGGCTTCGTCCTTCCCGGGCTGTCCCTTGGTGGCAGGGGAGCGGCCAAGGCTCCAATGTGGCGCAACTGCAGAGGAGAGACCGGAAGGCCGCGCGGCGTTTCAGCCTTCCCTCTCCTCACGTCACGACGGCTCTCTGCAAAAACAGGCGCTTCGAGAAAAGGCAAAAGCAAGCCCACCCCGCACCGTCACCATCATTTCTTGTGTCTGCATCCTCACTAACGAGGCACACGTAGGCATTTCACAGAAAGGCAAGCACAGGGCGTGAGGTGTTCTCCTGTGAACTCCAGCAGCTGCCAGCCGCTGGGCACCACGCTGACGAGCTCCTCTGTCACGACAGCTACGCCAAGCTCTCCAGAAGAGCACCGGAGCCCTTAGCAGAGACTGGTCTGATTTTTTCCACCCCAGTTCACACTGTTCTTTTCACATCGCTAGGATGTGACTGGAAAAATATCTTCATAAATTAGTAATGCTGATTTCCTTCTTCCAGTAGTTGAGAAGCGCTGTTCCTAATGTCCTGGGAAAGCTCTGGAAACACCATCGCTGTGGTTTTGCTCAGCTTTTGGGGGTTGGATGTTTTTAATATTAATTTTGTAGATATATGTTAAACAAAGCCATCGAGTTTGCCGCTAGAGGGCAAAGCAAGCTAAGGCATTCTCTTCCCTGGAAAAACAAAGAAAACAACGTCATCTCGAACTGTCCCCTGCTGCCAGCACGGTGGGATGACGCCATGATTTAACAAACCACGCTGAGCTTGCCTCCCTTAGCTTTCCTCGGCGAGCTACAGCCGAAAGGCCAGTGCCGGGGGGAAGTCCCGATGCCATCACGCCTAAGGCTGCAGCCCAAACGAGGACGCGATGCGTCTGCCAGCACTGGTCACCGTGACTCGGGGTGTGCAGTGGGTGGGAAAGCCCAGGCCAACTCCTTCACACGGGGGAGAGCAGCACGAATCCCGCTAGGACCAGCTTTAAAACCCAGTGACCGAAATATTGCTGCAAGGGCAGCTCCGGAGAGCGCTACATTTTAATGCGGAAAGGTGAAATTGTGTTGTGGGGGAAGGGAAGAAAAATGAACAAGGAAGGCATTGGGTTTGCTCAGAAAAGAAAGAAAATCTTCAGAGTAAATAACTTCAGTCTAAATTAACACTTCACCCGGTTTAGAAAAAAAAACAACTTCTTTTTTAGGATGGGTTACCTTTGAATTCAAAAGTTCAGTTTCTTTCGAATATACCAACAAGACATGCTTGTTCAATATTTCCACCTGGCAGCAAGTTCTCGCTGTAGTTCTCACACAGCACCTGTCATATTTGCAATTAAATAAATATCACAGCATTTACACAGATTTCTTACAAGACGAAATCCTGACCATCTGTGTTTCAGCTGCTGGGCCTCTCCATTACAAAGCAAGTAAAAGCAATGCCCTGAGGGTAACGGTTGAGCACCACGTGAAGCAATGTTATTTTATAAAGTTGTATAGTAAAATGCCAGTAGGTGCTAACTACGTTTGATAGATTATAAAATATAGTTACATTCAGAATAGTATCTACCAATGATAAAAAAAAGAGCATTTCTGACAAAGTGCATTCAGTGAGATCTTTACGTTACAACATCCAAAATCCCAGGGAAACAGGGTCTTGCAGGTAATTCTGCACGTGCTAATTTCACGCTGGTGGGAAGCGTCATCGCCACCGGTGGGGTTACTCACCTCTCCCAGTCGAGGATGATCACGAACTCTGTTCACAGGCCTGACGGATAACTACCTTTTCAACTCAAAACATCAAAAAGGTCGCTTTCTTGCCACGGTTGTAGGGAGCTGCTTAGATGCGTTTAATGTTAGACACAGCGTATGTGAACTGTACTTCATTGTGCCTTTATCTGAAGTGTGTAGAGGGCAATAATCAAGATTTTAGCGGTCGTTTTTCTTCTCATCTCTGGCCAGACTTCTGCTGTCTTTTTCTCCATTTAGCGTCTGAAGGATCACTGATTAATCTCAATTACTTGTCAGTTTAATTAACGTTGCTTTGTCTTTAAATAGCTTAGTGTAAATCTGTCTAATCCTTTATTGGTTATTTTAATCCTGAAGTTTGTCCAACAATAAGTAAACGTGTATAAAATCGAATGAGCAGTACTGAACATCACAAGTCAGATTTCATGACTGTCCACACTTTATTTCTGTCTGCTTCAATTCTGTGGTAAAAGTTCGTAAAAATTTTCCTATTCTTACACCACTGGGAAAACATTCTAATGGAAGACTGTCTTTTTCAAAACTCTTGTCAGTCTGAGGGCCTTCAGTGCTAAAAAGCGCTTCCCAAATGCAAAACTAGTGTTAGTCATCACGTTTTCAAACATGGTCAGCTTTTTGCAGCAGAAAATTTCGCATTAGCAGCTTGTAAAATATTTGCAAGGGAAAACTCATGTGCCCGCACATCCCCACAGGCATGGCGTTCCTAAGGCCGGCCAGCGGCGATGGCCCTCTCCACAGCACTGCTCCGCCAGCCCTCATTCTCCCACGGCAGTCCTGGAAGCTCCTCTGAGGGAAACACCGGGGTCGCAGGACTGCGAGGGCAGGGGAGAGGCACCGACCCCGCCGGAGAGCTCCGAGCCCTGCGAAGCCGCCTCAGCGTGCTCTCACGTGGAGGCGCCCAGGCCCGGCTCCACAGAACACCAGTGCCAACCGCAGCGGGACGGGACCGACGGGCGGGAAGGCCGAGACAGCCTCGTTTCTCCTCAGCCCGGCGGCCCCAGCCC